AAAAAAAAAAAAGAAGACGAAGACAAAGAAGAAGAGGAAGAGGAAGAGGAAAAAAAGAAAAAAGATTGAACTTTATTAAAAAAAAACAAAAAGCCAAAAATAGCAAATTATCGCTAAAATATATCTTCATCAGCCATAAACACACATCGTGGTATCTTTAACGAAGTTAAACTAATGTTACCCTCGAGAATATATTTACTAAAGCTTTTTCCAAATTGTTACTAAACCAGAAGCAGAGCACCGTGAAGCCATATAGTACCTTACCAAACAATAATAAATTATTACCATAGATAAAAAAAGAAAGAAAGAAAACTGAATTTTAAAAAAAAATTCACTTTTTTGTTTTTTTTTCTTTTTGCTCATAGATTTTTGCGTTTTGCTACATACGCTTAAAACCTAACCTAAAAATATTGCATACACAATACTTTTTGCTTTGGATTTAAAATGAAATAATGGACTTTTTATTCCCCTATACTGGAAATATTTCCATTTTGTCTCTCTGCTGCCTTAAGATGATTTTCGTTTCAAATGTATTTTTTTATTTTATTAATTTATTAACTAATTTTCGTATGTCGTTGTTTTGTGTAATAAATTCAAAGCACTGAAGTCAGTGGTAAGGTACTCTGAAGTACTTGAAATAATTTTCATGCGCTTTTTGCAGTTTTCCCAAAAAAATTTTTTTTTTTTTATCTACTAGAAGTGGGAGATCAACGTGTGTTACACTAATTGAAAAAATTTCATCCATCACCACCTAATAAATTTGTTTTATCACTCATTTCAGTTATAATAGGCTCGCAATTAATTTACTTATCATCTCTAGCTGTGTTCGTCCATTTCATGTTTCTTTGTTTGGCTTTGAAATATTTGTTAAGTTGAGAATGTTGAGACTTTATAACAACATTGGAATAATCGCAAATGGATATATCAGCGAATAAAAGTTCTATCCGTTTTATGAGTTTATTGAGTTCCTACAGTGTCGGCTATGTCTGCTCATCTACTAAAAATTTGCTGGAATTACTTTTAAAAACTAACATATTATATAGAATAGCAGGGATATTGAAAACCACTTTACTTTACTTTGATCATTTAAAGGTTAAATCAATCTAAAATTTTTAGTGCTGCATATTAGGACTAAGCAATTTATAAAAAGTTCTTCACTAAATAGCAAATTTTTATGTGTTCTATGCTGCAATTACCTAAAGGTTAACATTAGTGTTTGTTATATATATATATATATATATTTTTGTTTTTTTTTTTGTTTTTTTCCTACTTATAAAATGCAAAAAAAAAATTTTATGTATATAAATAGTATACACTTGAAGTAGAATTCGTTTGTTTAGTGGCGGCACACGTGAAGCTTACCAAAAAATGGAACGTCGGCATGCAGTTAATGTGTGACGGCTGCATTGCTGCTCAGTCATATATATGTATACAGCTGTATGGTTTTTTTTGTTTTTATTTTTTTTGCTTTTTCTTCTACACACATACTTGATGGTGGTACGTAGCATTTTAACAATAATAATCTCTCTTAGGTTTTTCTTCTTTTTTTTTTTTTTTTGTTTTTTTCTTCTCTTGCTTTTGCGTGCATATTTGTAAACCTGTATATTTGGTGCAGCATAGCATTCTCGTATATTTGATTTCTTGTGCTTTTTCTCGGTTTTCTGCTCCGCAGCAATACTCTGTAGGATATCCGGGCCAAAACAACCATTTGCACTTTTAAGTAAACCATCTTTTCCACCAATCGGCTTGGGGGCCAATTTGTGTATTCAATTCGAATGAACAAACGAATCCAACCAAACATATACTCCAATAATGTTTATTCGCTTGTTTTTCTGGTTGAATGCGTCGTTATTTTGGCAAGTACGTTTGCAATATATACAGAGAGAGAGAGTAACGCTTGGCAGAGATTTCAAAGAATGCAATCTTTTCTCCTCTTCTTTTCGCATATATATACATATCGCGACAATTTCAATTATTAAAGAAATTTACTCCAGGCTTAATACACTTTCTTTTCTTTCAAACTAATCGATAAACAATGTTTAGATATGTTAAGACTAAGGTAAGGTTAGGAAGAAAAGACGATTCTGACTCACAAGAATGCATCATATGGTGATCGCAGGCAGGAGGGAAAGATTTTAACAAGCCTCATTACAAAAACAATTTTATTATAAAAAGTAAGTTAAAATAGTAATAGGCGCAGAAGAAAAGAAAAAGTGCTCGAGAAGTAATCGGATTACCAAATATTGCTTTACAAGATCGCGTGCAATCAGTAAAGGTGAAAATGAACGACATTCAAATTCAAGCTGTTAAATAGGTCACTGCAGTTAAGTAATCTATTAAATTGTTCTCGACCTTTTCCTGCTTATTATTTTCTCAATACAATTGCAGCTAAGTTTTGAATATTTGTCTTCAATATGCGTATAATGCGCAAAATTAAATTCTTTGAAATTTCTGTTTGCCTGCCAATGTCGTCGTCGTCGTCGTCGTCGTCGTCGTCGTCGTCTAGTGTGTATAATACCATCTAATCAAATTTCAAATACAATTCTGTTTAATGATTTACTGATTAGATATCTCGAACCTGTAACAGCAATCGACAACTACGCAATATTACCATAAACGTGTACTTCATTTTAATCGCTTTAATGTACTTACACTTGTTGTTTTGTGTTGTCCCTGCCTCCATTAGAGAACGAACTGCTGTGCGTTCTGTGTGTGAAAGAATAATCAATAATTTCTATACCTAACTAAACGTTGCTCTGCTTGTTGCTGTGCTTGTTGCTGCTATTGCTTTATTGCGTTGATACCTTTGCCTTACTGTTGTTATTGTATATTGCATAAATAGGCCAAATCTACTGTCAGCCCAAAAAGTTCTTCGACTTAAAATTAATATTGTTGTTGTGTTGCGTGTGTTCTCTTGTTGTAACAAGTTAAAAGTTTTGAATACTAGCTTAACAACCACTAACGTTAAATAAGAAAAAAATATCGTTTTATTTTATGCGTCCGTATCGTCTGCTTAGCTTCTAAGATAGATGGAGCGGGCAATTGTTAATAATTTCCTTAGCTGATCTTGTGTTGCGGTTACTTTACGTTGTTATCGGCAATGATGGTAAATCCCTCTGCGGAAGCAACAACAAAGTAATAACATCGTGTGTTTTGTCATCATCTTCGCAAACCTAATATAGTCCAACTTTTACTTTGAAGTTTATTTAAAATATTGTAGTTTTCAAAGTCTTCTTTATTTTTTATTTTTATTTGTTTTTTTCATTTTTCTTCTTCTTTTTCTTCGTCTTATATTTATGTGAAAATTCTTTTATTTTTTTTTTTATTTATTTACTTAAAAAACTTTTCCCAAGCAACCACTGCTTTTATATGCATATGTATATGCTGTTGAGGTTTTATGTGAATCTGAGAGATTCCGGTCTTCCCCCCTCCACTCTCCCATCCCTCAACCATCATCTTGTTCGTTCATAACATATAATCTCTTAAGAAAAGTTACGCCAAGCCACGATTTATGACTTTGTTTTAATATTTTCTTTTAAACTATACGCAAATAAAAATATATAAATATATATATATATATATATATATATACATATATACATGTATACATATATATATATATACATATATATGTACCAAATGTAATGTATAGTATACATGTATACATTTATGTAAAGTAATATTGGTTAAAGCTTACGACGATTCCGCACAGTGCAAACTTTCATGGCACGAACATATTCCTCCAACAGTTTAATATATTCTGCAAGAGAAAATGAATGATTGACGACTGGAATGTGCTTTAATACTTTTTGGGTAATAATTGAAAATAATTATATTTATTTCACCTTTCGCCACAAAAAACTTTATGGGCTTATGGGCTTATGCTATGTTTTTTTTTTTTTTTTTTGGTCATTCCTAGTATAGAGAAATGAGAAATCTTTTAAAGTAACTTAAAACTGTTTTCGACTAACTAACTTACCTTTTATTAAATTACAAAATTATTGAGAAAAAGCGGTAAAATAATCTGGACCTGTTGCAGTACATCGATTAGGACCAGCAAATTTCCAATCAGGTTTTTTTTAACGATTTACTCGCTTTCAACTTTTCGTAGCCACATAAAGAAAATCCTGTTCTTTGGACCATCAGGAGAATCTAACGTATTATAAGCCATTCTTAATACATGCTGCAAGGCGATGTTTAAGACGCATAACAAGGCTTCAGTCCTATGTGGCAACTCTCTCTTTCTCTCTTTCTCTGTTCTGTTTCATAAGCACGATAAGAGCATTCATTTAGTTTTATTAACTCTCTGTTGGAACGGGCAAAAGGATCGGTTGAGAGGGCCTATAAATAAATAACTCGATCGACATTTTCAATCTCCATGCCCAAGATAGCTAATTTTAGATAAAAACAAAATTGTCATAGATAGGTCTCGGGAACAATTGTTGCTAACATACCGACCCGTTGCGCGTCTTGGTCTAATTCATAAAATTAGAGATGGAGGCAAGAACATATTTAAAGAAGTCTTTTCATAGGATGTGGGGGAATCGATTTAGTCATGTCCGTCCTTATGTCCGTCGATTAGCAGACTGAAATTGAACAACAAGGTGCTTAAAGGTGGGCAGGTCCGCTTGCACAGCTATCAAGATGGACCACCAGATTGTGCAGATGAGCAAATTTTTTAACGAACACGTGCCCATAATAACTGAAAAGTTGAATCAGCCGGAAAAAATTGAGAATGAAAAAAAACCCCTTGAGCGATCCGATCCAATTTCACAATTAATATTCAAAAATGTAGAGAATTTGACATATTTATTTTACTTTAAGTAAAAATTATTTATTATTCATTTCAAAGCGAATATATATTCATTCGTAAGCTTACACTGCAACCACATATGCATATATATACATATTTTGAGAATGAATGCATTAATCGAGTTAATTAATAAATATTAATTATATCGGCTCACTCTTTCAATTATTTATTTCTTTTTCTCGTGCAGGTGTTTATGGCGATGTGCAACGTGTAAAGATTTTATACAATAAAAAGGATTCTGCTCTTATACAAATGGCCGAACCACAGCAAGCTTATTTGGGTAAGTAAAAAATAAACCAAAAAAAAAAAAAAAAAAAAAAAACGGAAAAAATTAACAACAACAACAATGAAAATATGCACACAAAATATAAAATGCATATAAAATGTCCTGCAGAATGCGTATAAAAGAAACGCCGCGGCTTTATCCTACATAAAATATTCGGAAAAATATGTACAAAGTAGTGCCTGAAGCATTTTTTTGGTCAACTCAATAAACATTATTTTCTTACATTTACACACGCACATAAAGACGCAACAGTGATACATGATTTTATTTCACTTCTCCGGTCGGTTATTTAACTTATTTATAGCTCACGCATATATAAAACCACACACAAAACACACAACATATGTGTCATAATCAGCTTTTTCCACTTGTTCGTCTTCTACTACTTTTCTGCCACCTGAAGTAATAACTGGCATAATCAGGCCCCTTAATAAAATCTTAATTTCTTTTCCTATTAAATATGAACTTTGTTTATAAATTTGATTAAAATGAATTTCTTCTCTTTCAATATATATATATATATCTTTGAATAAATGCAATAAATGCTCGTAGGGATTCTAATATAATATACACTCGTCCAGCTGTGTGCCCAGCGCTGCTACTGCGAAAAGATTTATAGGAAATGAAATTTATTTTATACAAGATATATATATACATATATATTTACGTATATTATTAAGTGTAATATGTCGTGCTGTGTGCACCTTAGGAAAGATTTTATTTTTTCCATTTTTGTTTTTTTTCTTCTTTAACTTTAACATTTTCCTTCTGTTTGCTTTTCCGCCTTTGTCAGCGTAAATATGAAAAGTTGTCATCATAAAGAACCGGCTCGATTATTAATCGCTTCTCTTGTCAATTTCAATGTTGATTTTCTTGATTTATTTTATTTAATTTTCCTTTGCTTTTTTTTTTTCTTCATATCTTAAAAAGTCATAACAAAAGTGTATGGGATGCATCTATCGGATTTTGCATTTTACAGTTAGGTTTCCATTGTAACAATCGTGTTTCACATAGAAGATATATACGTAACTGACACTTCATATTAAATGACACGCCTTTACAATTTAAATTCTGCTTTTTATTCAAGTTTTTAGTAGTTAAACGTTACCTCATTTATATGGCTCTTAGTAACTGCATATGTATATGTTTTGATGCGGAATTTCGGTGACGCTTTTAATCATTTTTTCCAATTATCTTTGCACAAGAAAAGCATATCTTCCATCATTTTGTAGCTGAGGCAAAAAACCACACTTTTTATCCAGGTTTTCAAGAAAGATAAAAACGTTTTTCCCGCTTTGTTAGCGGAAAAATATGAACCGACGTGACGTTGCCCGTCTGTCTCTTTAAAAACGCGGACAAAGGGCGAAGACTTTTGCTGCTCGACACAGTTCATCAGGGAGAATCCATATTTGCAGCATTAGCCACACTGCCCTACCCCCTAACAAAAATTTATAATAATCGCTAGTAGAGGATGAATAAGCTAAGAGCTCCCTCGGCTTCCTCGGTTTGAGGAATTCTTTTTTGACGTGTGCTACTAAACACTTACAATGGGACACTTTAATTTGGTTTGAATTTAGTTTCGTAGGCCTCGACAATCGAGCTTTTTTGTAGGGGTCTGAGAAATTTGTGCATAGGTTTCTAAGGTTTCTAGATTTCGAACTCTTTACTGGATATTCTTACTGTTACTCTTTATATATACTATTATGAGCAGCAATAGCACAATGCCTAAATTTGCTGCTTTTTTACATAGGTTTTTAATCAGAAACTCAAACATACGCGCAAACTATGTACAAGACATTCAACTTGAATGTATATCACAAAAAAAAAAAGACAACAACAGTCCGCTCAGCAGCGAGACCATTATCGTTATCATCATCATCGGAGGACGATATAGTTGGATCCATTCAAACCATTAAAATACTAATTCGTTTTGTAAACTACTTTCTTGCTCCACGAACTATCGAAACTTAACTTGAATGTGAAGTCTTAGAATAAATTTCTTCCGAATTTACACGAAATCCCCTATAAATGGTAGAATATTTATAGTATAACATTATTGTCATTGTCCCTCGTATCATATCGTGCTTGCACTGTGTGTTAAATTTATGAGCACGAGCTGGGCATATAGTTAAGAGTACTTGAAAAATAAATAATAAAAATATTTATATAACAGAAATTATTTGCGAGAGCAATATGAATATGCGGAATATATTTTCAGATAAAATAACCATTGGATCACAACAAATGCAGAAGATATATATAAAAAGAAAAAAAAACAGTACAATTAAAATGAAGTTGAAATTTACATATACGTGTTAACCTCGTTCGTTATTCCTCGAATACGCATAATAGAGTAGTATATTATTACCACTTATACAACCTGGCTTCTAGATAAGATTGGAGAAATTTCCTATATAAACATGTGATTAATATTTTAGTTTATACATAAATAAGCAAACGAACGAACTACGAAACGAACTATATATTATGCATGATGTGCGGCGTGCATATATGTGTGCGTTTAAATATTATAAAGTTAGGCTCACTTACGTTAATAAGAATTTAGCTTCAATATTTATTGGCTTTTCGCTTACGACATGGCATTAGTTAGTCGGATAATTAATATAATTAAGCTAATCAGAAACGTTACCATTGAGTGAGAAACTCACACAACAAAATCCCTTTAAATCGTTCATTTCAAGCAAATTGTTGCTAGTGGAAATCGACAGTTGTGGCTAAACAGCTATGACCGAAGTATAGAACGCATAGTTTATAAATCCACGTGTAATAATATCCCTTAAATTATGCGAAAAAATAACATGTGGAATTTTCGCTTTTTTTTTTTTTTTTTTTTTTTTTTTTAATAGTTTCCACTGAAAGATTCCCGCTATCCCCGATATCATCCCATACCAAAATTAATTTTTTGTCTTATTATTATGCGGAAAATAAAATCTGGAATTATCAATTTTTCTATGTGACCAGATGTACGTACGCACACAGAGCAACCAATTAAAAAAGTAATTGCTTAATTCCGATAACACCTGGTTTTCATTATTTTATTTAATAGGCGGGCAGTGGCTGGCTTGCTTCTCGCTTCTCGCTTCTCTCCATTAGATTTTGTATTTCAAGAAGTTATTTAATAGTTTTACTAAGAGACATTACATTGGCTATTAAATATTGTAGATTCGTATGAAAATGAATGAAAATATTTCAATAAAATCATTGGCGAAATATTATATTGAGAAAATGTCACAGAAGACTCTTCATATATGCGCCGAAAATTCAACTATTTTTTTACATACAATTTATGATTCCAGAAATAAATAGAGAGTTGATGGCCGCAGCCTAATATTGGATGTGCGTTATGGTATTATGACTTTACTTACGTGGCATAGTTACAAGTCTGCCGCACAGAGGTTGGTTTGAGCTCGCAAACATTGAGTTAATAGTCGGGGATTCTTATTTGCTCGACCACTTACGCAACAAGCTTCCGTTTACACGTTTTGATACACTGGAGAATTGTATTTATGTTGGCGATTGAAACTAAATGATTTATTTCTCTGGCTCTTTCTTAATTTCAGTTTGAAATGTTAGCCTCTCTTACTCGATTAAACATCTATTCCATTATTTCAAGATAATTTAAATTCATTTAACCTTGTAAAATTGATGAATCCGAAAGGAGACTTTCTCTCAAAGTACCTGAGATAAGATAACCATTGCCAAATCAATTATTGGACAATCTGTTAATTGTCGAACCATCACATATCCGACATTAGTCCGCCGAACTTGTCAAATACTTGTACGGCTGCCTACAGTTATTACATGTATTGTGTTCTTGAGCAAAAATAGAATCGTGAGGGTTCATGTATTGAAGATGCCGTTCAACCGGGGTAAAGAAAGTGATTGTTAATTTTTTCAACGCACACATAATCTCTAAAATCTTTGTAAAATTCTTATGGTTATGTTATAGATAAAATAACAACCTTTCGCGTTCTTTATGGGTATTGTATTTGTCCGTATAAAAGGAAAACAATTTTCATTTATGTCGCACATTCGCTTAAATGTGAAAAAAGTATATATGTAAATGATACATATGAGGCATTAGCAAAACATATATATATATATATATATCTATTAAAATCCAATACGTTATACATCGAAAAGGAAAAATAAATAAAAACAAATGATTATTTGGTGGTGGAGGCGTATGAATATATTTAAATAGTTTTAACAACGAATTTACGCGTACATACACATATGCATTGTCATGTTGCAGTTCGTGGATGCATTAAATGCTTCTTTTTGCTTTTTTTTTTTTTTTTTTTGTAGTGAAATAGCTTTCTCCAATAAGAAGTAAAAGAAGCAACCGATTATTTTTTTATTTTTTATTTTTTTTTTTTTTTAACAGGCAGCATAATTAAAAATTCAGCTGTCATTTTCAATCACTGTGCAAATGACAACATGCGAGACACAGCAAACACAATGAATGAAAATATGTTGTGGCAGCGGAAATATGTGAAAATGTGCAGTATAGTACGCCTACAAACACACACGCCCGTATATGTGTTTTTTAATTGTAATTAAAAGTTTATTAATAATTAACAGACTTATGTGTCGTCACTAGCAAACCGTATAAATAGTACTAATAAAAATTCTTTGGGAATAACTACAGTTGTGTTCAAATAATTTTCCATATTATGTACACATGTCAAGGCGGCGTACCATCACCAAAAAAACAACAAAAATAACAAAAAAAAAAAAAAAAAAAAAATGAAAGAAAAACCTTTTCGAAGAAATTCTAAATATATTTAATTTATTTGAAAATAACGCGCACTTACACACTCACTTGGTGCTTGAAAACTTCGATGTCTTTCACTAAATAGCGACGTGTACTAGGTTCTAATTAAAGGGAAAGCAAAAACTTTATGACAAGTATTTAATTATATTCGGCAAAAATGCATTAGTCATGATATTACATACATTCAAACATGTCT